TCACTGCAGACAGTGACTGCAACCATGAAATTAAAAGACACTTGCTCCTTGGAAGAAAAGTTATGACCAACCTAGACAGAATATTAAAAAGAAGAGACATTACTTTGCTAACAAAGGTCCGTCTAGTCAAGGCTGTGGTTTTTCCAGTAGTCATGTATGGATGTGAGAGTTGGACCATAAAGAAAGCTGAGCACCAAAGAATTGATGCTTTTGAACTGTGGTGTTGGAGAAGACTCTTGAGAGTTCCTTGGACAGCAAGGAGATACAGCCAGTTCATCCTAAAAGAAGTCAGTCCTGAATATTCATTGGAAGGACTGATGCTGAAACTGAAGGTCCAGTACTTTGGCCACCTGATGCAAAGAGCTGACTCATTAGAAAAGACCCTAATGCTGGGAAGGATTGAAAGCAGAAGTAGAAGGGGACGACAGAGGATGAGATGGTTGGATGGCATCACCGACTCAATGGACATGAGTTTGAGTAAACTCTGGGAGTTGGCAATGGACAGGGAGGCCTGTCATGCTGCAGTCCATGGGGTTGCAAGGGGTTGGACACGACTCAGCAACTGAACTGAACTGAAATATCCACACATTGGAGTTAAGTTCTCAAAAGACTTTTCACTGATTGAGTGTGCTGCCAAAACATTTCAAGTTCACTAGATTAGAAGATGCTTAGCATTTGTATGATATATTATGCAGCTTATAACCTTTTGAGTCAGAGTGGTGTCAGTTATGTTCATAGTATAGATGAGGCATTATACCCATTTCATAGAAGAGGAGCTGAAGGTTTAAGCACTTAAATGACTTGTTGAAGGTCACACAACTGGTTAATAATGACTCCTCAACTGCAGCTCAGCTTCCCTGATTGCTCAGTTGGTAAAGAATCCTCCTGCAGTGCAGGAGACCCTGGTTTGATTCCTGAGTTGGGACTATCTGCTGGAGAAGGGATAGGCTACTCACTCCAGTATTCTTGGGCTTCCCTTGTGGCTCAACTGTTAAAAAATCTGTCTGCAGTGAGGTAGACCTGGGTTCGATTCCTGGGTTGGGAATGTCCCCTGAAGAAGGAAAAGGCTACCTACTCCAGTATTCAGGCCTGGAAAATTCCATGAACTGTGTAGTCCATGGGGTTGCAAAGAGTCGGACATGACTGAATGACTTTCACTTTCGCTTCACAACTCCAGCTCAGGGCTTCTTACTGGGTGGTGCCCTTTCCATTCATTCTATTCATTGCTGTTCTGCTGGTCATTCTTTAAGTTTTCATTTCCTGTCCTAATCTATCTCTTATGTATACTCCAGAGTCCTTAGGTAGTTGCTTTTTATATTTGTTGAAGTTTTTAGCTGTAATCAGTGGAAGAGAGAGAGAGACTGTACAAGTAAGTTAAGACAGACTGAGAACAAAAGGATGGAACCATAAAGAAATTGTATTAGTGATGAAAATACATATTGTAGTAGGTGGCCCAGAAGTCAGATGAATGCATTTCATTTGGAAAACCCTGCTGAGAAACCATAGAAATAAAGTCAAGGTAGATACATTATTTGAATATTGGCTTGAGGGCAGGCTAGTGATGAAATGGTTCTGGAAAATATAGGTAATGGGTTTGTATAATGTATATGTATTGCTTTACTATAGTAAACTTGACATTAACAAGCATAATTAAGAATTTGGTGGTTTATTTTGATCATTATTTTAGTTTTAGTACAATTTCATATAGCATGTGGCCTCTATTTTGATTGTTCTTTGTACATATGGCAAAGTTAACAAAATTGAAAACTTCTATGTAGAAATGAATAGGTAAGGTTGCTTGTCTGCTCATAGATCTGGAGGTAAACTGGGTTTAACATGTTAACTTGAAAATGATTGGGTCAGAAAAGTGACCCAAATATAGTGTGGTTTTATACATCATTTTCTAGACTATGATCAGTGCCATAATGTTGGAAAAGAGATCTTTATTTAACAAATCTGGTTTTAACAGATTTTTATGAAAGTTATGTTTTACAGACAATTTCTGGGCTTTTCCATATTATAAATTCAAGGCTCGTCTTGAGCTCCTCTCAGTCTAGTGGCATCTGGAAATACTATACATCACTAAAACTTTCATAGGAATTTTGCATGCCTTGAAATGTTACATATATGATTATACAGTTCCCTTAGTATTCACTGGCATATTAAACTAAGATGGCACTGATGAATATATTATTGTCTATGTTAAAATGAATATAGTTCTTACTTCTAACTGTTCATCAGGCCAGTGATCTATTGTGCTCACCGGAGGAAAATCAAAATAGTGCATTGAAATTAGAATCAGTAACTGGAGTAACTATAGTCTTTCCTTTTTAAAATTATTATTAAATGGAAGGATCGCTTGAAATTTATGATAGTTTCAGTGGTTTAGAAGATGTTAAGAGAATTATTTTGGGTTTATCATCAGTTTAGAAAACCCTAGACATGGGGTCCAATCATTGGGATCTAGTATCAGTGCTCTTGTTTCTGTACAGTGTCAACATGGGCAAGTCATATAAACTTCCTATAATAAATGTGTAAGTGTGAAAATGTCAGTCACTCAGTTGTGTACAACTTTGTGACCCTATGAACTGTAGTCCGCCAGGCTCCTCTGTCCATGGACTTCTCTAGACAAGAATACTGGAGTGGGTAGCCATTCCCTTCTCTAGGGGATCTTCCCAACCCAGGGATGGAACCTGGATCTCCTGTATTGTCGGCAGATTCTTTACCATCTGAGCCAGCAGGAAAGTCCCTAATAAATGTGTACTGGTCCAGTTTAACTTGATCACAGATGATTAAGCTTTCTACACACATATCCACATAAACAGATGAATGGTTTATTTGGTTGTAAAAGATGGAGCAGTAGAGCTCCTGTGATATAGTCAGATGGCTCTGAAAGGCTTTGTCTGCACTGCAGGAGACTGTGGGACAGCTAGAGGCACACTCCCTGGTCAGACTGAGAAGTTTGTAAGTCAGTGTAGTCTGTCAAATTGGTGAAGCTGGAGAAGTATTAAGGATTCCTTAGCTCTGAGCGAGCCACTCTCCTCCAGGTTGCACAGCCATCCTTTATCTTCCTTTTGGACTTTTAATAGCTATCTACATTAACAAGAATGTGCAGAATGAAAGATTTCAGTGTAACCAGGTGCATATTAAACTGTAATATAATATGAGTAAAAATTCTCTTAACCAGTCTCACTTTAACCCACACACTCTGTAGTCTTATCATTTTTTTCTGTCAGTTCCTTCTGGCATAATGCCCATGGCATAATCAGTGTTTGTAGCGGTTAGGATATTTTGTTTCTACCAGCTGAGCTGCGTGCTTACCAAGAATCAGTTATGCTCATTTCTGAAACTTTTATTACATTTGTGCATATCCAGTGACATTAGGGCCAACTATTGTTCATGATCTCAGAGGAAGAGAGGGCTTCCTTATGTGTAACAGTTGAACATGGGCCACCTACTTGTTGAAGTTGAACCTACTTACTGCTCCTTGGGAAGGCTGTTGGGGTTTGCAGGTTGAGCTTGGTTTCCGTATGGCTTCCTGTTAATCTCGCCAGTGCTCCCTTTATCTGTGTTTTCTCATTTTAGAAGTGAGAGTGATTCTTCCTTTAAGTTTATAGACAAGGGTAAAATTTTAAATGGTATTAAATATGGAAACAGTGGAAGTAAATGTTCTCTATAGTGTTGTTACTGTAGTCTTATTTTTATAGTGGGGAATCTGTGTGACTCATGGTTTAAGGGAATACTCTTCTTAGACTTAGGTTTTATTTACAAAATAAGATAACTCTGTTGCTTTTCTAATTTGGCATTTTGAAACACTATGACTTGAGGAGTTATCCAAATTCCGAATGAACTAAACTTACCAGTAAGCTTAAACTAAAATCTGAGATGATGGACTAACTTCAGTGGTTTGGAAGATATTACTGATGTTAGAGAACTAGCATGTCTCAGGCCCTGTGGGCTATTATTAAAGAACCCTAGACTTGAAGTCAGACCAGCAGGTCTGATATCAGTTGGGCTCTTGATCGTACTTGTCTTTGCTGCTCTGATCCTGGTCTGGTAATCTTTGGTTCATTTCACAGGGATTTATAAAAGATATCTTGCACTTACAAAAGGCATTAGATTTAATTCACATAAAACCAGTATCTGTTTTTAGTACGCCTAGTTTTCATGAGCATTAACTTCTTTAGTTAACACTTTTCATCTTAGTAAAACCACTGTCATATGATTCTTAATTAAACATATGTGGGTTATTCTTTTAATTGGTGATTAGCTTTTAGCAGCAGTGATTTTAGCATGTGTACATACACATGCACGTTTTGGGGTCATATGCACTTGAGTTTGAATCCTGGTCTACCATGTATTAGATGTTTAGCCTTTGAAAAGTCACTTAAATCTCTTGTTTTCTTGTCTCTATGAGAGCATGATGATATGTACCTCACAGAGTAAAGGAAGATAAAAATAGAATGTGTATGGGCATATGGCATAGTAGGCTTTCAGTAAAGGTTCCTTTTCTCTCTGTGTCAGTTTTAAAATTTCATTCTATATCATGGATAAAAAGAGTAAAACGAATATAAGCTACATATTTATTCACTTGATGTGGTGGGTCTGGAGACCATTTGCAGCAAGAGTGAGTGGGAAGTAACGTTTGCTACTGTGCTCTTCTATCACTTCTAAAGTTAGATCACCCATTTCTTAAGTCCCAACTGGTATTGCCAGATATTTAGAATTTGAACATTAATTCTGTATGGTGCTGGGTACTGACTTTGGACTGTGTGGCCAGAAATTGGAGGAAGAAGAACCAGGAAAGTTGTAAAATGAATAAATAAATGGAGTTTATTTTGGTCATCCTGGCCCAAGTAATCTTTCAAAAATAAGTCTAAGTAACATGCCACTTGTGTTTACTAACAGAGGTGAGGGGGGAAAAAGGGCATTTACCTTAATGGACTGTTATACTTTCTGGTTCAACTTTTTTATCTTTCTTTTTATGTTTGTTTCTCCAGCCTCTGTTCCATCCCTGACCCACCTTTGTCGTTTGGAAATTTGGTCCCGTCTAAAACTAGAACACCTACAGTCTGATGGTTTTATCCGTCAGTTACCTCTTCCCAGAAGCCTACATGATTATTTACTCTATGCAGAGGTTTTGAGGATGAATGAAGTTCCAGAACTGGCAGTTATTCAAGATGGAGAAATCAGTGAAACCACTTAACACAGTTTTTATCTTACTATGAAAACCACCAAGATAAGGAGCCATGGAGTACAAATTCTTCACAATTTTATGGTCACAAAAGATGATTTTTGTTTGTGTGGTTGGTTAGGCTTTAGAGGGCAGTGGTTTAATGGAAATGTTTACAACGAGGCTTCCTGGTAAAAAGGAGTGTTGTAAACATCATGTAAGTTACTTTATTACAGTTTCATCATCAGTACTCTTTATGTTGTGATATTCATTTACCTAACCATTTTCTGCTTTATTCTGTTAATGAACTGTGAATGCTGCTTCTAGTGCTAAACATGGCCTATTTCCACGTATGATTCTGTGTTTGTTTACCTAGGGCTAGAGCTTAGAAGAAAAGGCATAAGTCTTCACTGGAAGTATACACACAGTGAAGTTGAGTATCTCTTATGTTTATAAAGGAACTGTATTATATTCTGTTCTCATCTCTTAATTGATTTGAAATTCATTGGCTGTTCACAGGTAAACTCAGGGGAGAATTTTCTTTTTAAAGGCTATAGAAAATAAATCATTTTGCTGTGTTCTTTTTTTTCCAGTTTGATCCTCTTTTTGGCTAAAAAGATTCCTGTTTCTGCAAAGGCAAGAACAGACTTAAATTCAAAGACATGTTGAAAAAAAATTAGGTTGATATTGAGATAAATGTGCATCTTACCACATTTACATAGTATTAATTAGGAGATTGGGAGAGACATTTCTGTGGTATCATTTTTAAAGAAAAAAAGGTACGTATTCCTGAGTTGCTCACGATCAGATGAAACATTGCAGGTCCATTCAGTCTCCAAATCAGAGGGCAGCTTTAATCCTATGAAGCAGTGGTTGTTAGTTCTGTTAATGTTATAGTGTGTTTCCTTTTTACTCTCTGGCTACATTATCAAATAGTCCATGAAATTTAAACCTTAGAGACCTAGGTTAATGAAATACTGCCTCATTGGTTTTACATTTGTTTGCTAGGAATCTAAAATCAGAGAGGACTGAATATTGTATCAAGTGAGCTTTGAAAAGAGGCTGTGGGCATTTGTCTTGAGAGAAAGGTTAGGAAAACATACTGTCATGTTAGACAACTAGAGATGGGGTCCAAGGGAAGGCAAGTATTCTATCCTATTTGGATTCTGTGAGTTAAGATAGATGGGAGTGGGTCAGTCAGATTCATCTCTGATAGAATTTTGCTATTTGATAAAAGCAGTTATGATGGCATACCAAATGATGGAGACATTAAGGTCCAAAAGGATAACTAAATTCAGCTTAGATTGGAGCTACAGTTGCTGCTTATGGGGTGGAGATGGAGTTTAAAGTGGGAAAAAGGCAGAAGTAAGGGTGGGTAGGGAAAAAACAGGTGGAAATTCTAATAGTTAATAAATTCTAAAAAAAGTATGTGCTATGTAGTATTTTTTAAATGTTTGTACCTTTATTTTTTTTAAACCCTAATAAGTCTCTGCTTTAAACATAATCAGTTTTTGTTAGGGTCCAGTGTACATGGAATGTTTACCTTTTAGGGTGAATCTTTTCATGTGTTTTTGTTTATGTTTAAATATGTAATAAATTCAACTATTCATAACTTATCATTGAGCTCTTATTCTTAAAAACTTAAAAATATTTCAGAAACATTAAGACCCTTAGTATTTAAAGCTTAAATTATTTTACCTACTGTATACAATATCTTTCTTTTAGGCTATTTTATAATACATAAATATTATTTTTATGACTAATAGCAAGGACTCAGTAAGAAATCCAATCCAGAAGTATCTAAAGGTAAGTAAAGTACACTAACAACTTCTGATCAAAATGATACATCAAGGTAGTGTGAACTTGAAGCTCTGCCCTACATGTACCATGGTGCTTTAGTATTCTTAAAGTCTCAGTGAGCCTGATGAAGAACTCCATACAGTGGTTTTCTAATGGTGGTACATAGTACCAGAGCAGGACACACATTGGTTTTGATAACAGTTGTCAAGAGTTTATCTACGTTGATTTGATGTTGTCCTTTAAGTGCATTTCCTGCTCAACATTCCTGTCATAGGACATCTTTCTGTGATGATTTCATATAATAATGATAATCTGGACATCGTATTTTCTGAAGTAAACTTTTTATTGACATTTAACACATGTAAGAAAAATATACATATCGTAAGTATACAAACTGATTATAGTTGACCCTTGAACATCATGGGAGTTAATGGACTCCTACCCTCTACAGAGTTGAAAATCTGCTTATGGCTTACAGTCAGCTGTCTATATCTCTGAATTTAACCAATTATGGATCTAATCAAGTATGGTAGATTGTGTAGTATTGTAAAAATGTTGCTGTTGAAAAAAGTCTGTGTATAAGTAGACCTGCACCAGCTCAAGCATGTTGAAGGGTTGACTATATTTTACAAAATGAAAATGTCTGTGTAATCAGCATGCAGTTCAAGAAACAGAATATTATTAGCATGCTGGAAGTTCCCTTTGTGGCCCTTCTAGTCTCTGTGTTCTTGCCAGAAGGGTAACCACTCTTCTGGGTTTTAGCACCAACAATCTGTTTTTCCTGGAATCATCCACTATGCCCTCTTTAGTTTCCTCCTACTTTTGTGTGCATTTTCAGATTCATTTATGTTATCATGTGTAATAATAATCATTGTACATCATTTCTTTCCTCTCCCTTTTGCCCATGTAGCAAGTGGCTTGATATGCAGCTTTCTGGTGGTCCTGCATCCTAGATCAGTTACCTACATCATGTCCCATGATCACTTGTGACATTGATAATCTTTGACAGGCAGCCTAAGTGTCATATTTATGTCACATGATCAGTTGATGTCTCAAACATTGGATTTGTTCTCCCCTAAGTTTATCTGTAAACCTGTATGAAAATCGTAATACTTCATAGATCTTCAGGTATAGTCTCAGGTACAATTTCAAGACCTCTGAGTATTTTTGATTGGTTATTCTCAAATTCTACTATAATTGTGTCGGGCCTCAAAAACTTATAAATAATAACTGTGACAAGAATGTAAATAACTGTGTCTTCTGAAATAGTGGACTTGGTTCCATCAGCATGAGGTATAGAAAGAAGTTGAGAGAATCTATCTAAAAGTTTGCCTTTCATTTTTTATGCTCCTCTTTATTCTTGGAGCCCTTCATGGATCACAGCCTTGTCTTGGCAAAGGGGCTTTTGTAACTCAATGAGGCTATGAGCCATGTTGTGTAGGACCACCCAAAATAGATAGGTCACAGTGAAGAGTTCTGACAAAATGTGATCCACTGGAAAGAATGGCAATCCACTCCAGTATTCCTGCCTGGAGAACCTCGTGAACAGTATAAAAAGGCAAAAAGATGTAGGAAGATAAGGCCCCTCAGGTCAGAACATGTCTAGTATGCTGTTGGGGAAAAGTTGAGGGCAGTTGCAAATAGCTCTGGAAAGAATGTAGCAACTGGGCCAAAGTGGAAATGACTTTCAATTGTGGATGTGTCTGGTGATGAAAGTAAATTCCAATGCTGTAAAGACGAATATCGCAGAGGAACCTGGAATGTTATGTACGTGAATCAAGGTAAATTAGACATGGTCAAGCAGGAAATGGGCAAGATCGAACATCAGCATCTTAGGGATCAGTGAACTAAAATGTACGGAAATGGGTGAGTTTAATTTAGATTACCATTATATCTACTACTGTGGGCAAGAATCCCTTAGAAGAAATGGAGTAGCCCTCATGGTCAACGAAAGAGCCTGAAATGCAGTACTTGGGTGTAGCCTCAAAAATGACAGAATCATTTCAGTTTGTTTCCAAGGCAAATCATTCAACATCAAAGTAATCCAAGTTTGTGCCCCAACCGCTAATGCTGAAGAAGCTGAAGTTGAGCAGTCCTGTGAGGATCTACAACATGTTCTAGAACTAACACCCAAAAAAGATGCCCTTTCCATCAAAGGGGATTGGAATGCAAAAGTAGGAAGTCAAGAGATAACTGCATAACAGGCAAGTTTGGCCTTGGAGTACAAAGTGAGGCAGGGCAAAAGCTAACAGAGTTTTGTCAAGAGAACATGTTAGTAATAGCAAACACCCTTTTTCAGAAACCCAAGAGACGACTCTACACATGGACCTTTCTAAATGGTCAATACTGAAATTATATTGATTGTGTTCTTTGCAACTGACTCATTTGAAAAGATCCTGATGCTGGGAATGATTGAAGGCGGGAGAAGAAGGGGATGACAGAGGATGAGACGGTTGGATGGCATCACTGAATCAATGGACATGAGTTTGAGTAAACTCTGGGAGTTGGTGATGGACAAAGGAGGCTTGGCGTGTGGCAGTTGATGGGGTCGCAAAGAGTTGGACACGACTGAGCGACTGAACTGAATTGAACTGATGGGACCGGGTGCCATGATCTTAGTATTCTGAATGTTGAGTTTTTTAAGTTGCCATTATCTTCCTTACTTCCATCATAGTTTGGCCTCAGGTCAAGCAACAGGAACCAGAGATCAAATTGCCAACATCTGTTGGATCATCGAAAAAGCAAGAGAGTTCCAGAAAAACATCTATTTCTGCTTTATTGACTATGCCAAAGCCTTTGACTCTGTGGATCACAACAAACTCTGGAAAATTCTGAAAGAGACGAGAATACCAGACCACCTGACCTGCCTCTTGAGAAATCTGTAAGCAGTTCAGGAAGCAACAGTTAGAATTGGACATGGAACAACAGCCTCTTTCCAAATAGGAAAAAGAGTATGTGAAGGCTGTATATTGTCACCATGCTTATTTAACTTATGTGCAGAGTACATCATGAGAAATGCTGGTCTGGATGAAGCACAAGGTGGAATCAGAATTGCTGGGGAAATATCAATAACCTCAGATATACAGATGACACCACTCTTCTGGCAGAAAGTGAAGAAGAACTAAAGAGCCTCTGATGAAAGTGAAAGAGGAGAGTGAAAAAATTGACTTAAAACTCAACATTCAGAAAACTAAGATCATGGCATCTGGTCCCATCAATTCATGGCAAATAGA